AGTCAAAAGCCCAACAAATGCCTCCATATCAGCTTGATCCACCAGCCGATCTGAAAACACCCTTTACACAGACACAATGAGTAATCAGCACAATGTTGACATATGGGTGTTTAGATATAAACATATATTTGTGTTTATATTTTTTGACGTAATTACCTAAAGCACTCATGTATCCAAAGGCGTGTGATGCTCTGTTTGGTGTCATGAAAGTCCCTATGAGTTCGCAGTAGACCTTGGAAGACCTGAAGCAAGAAAAACAGAGAGTGTTAAAATTATTTAATGAGAGATTAAAATAACACTAGACCATAACGCACCCAAATCAAGGAAAAGAATATGATAAACTCCCAAACAGTAACCTTGTTTCTGAAATTTATGTAGGTGCTAATACATAAAATAATTAGTATTTCACCTTGGAGATGTCTCTGAGGTTGAAGAGGTAGTGTATTTTAGCAGGAGTGGGTAAGAAGCGGGCAGTGATGGCATAGTACAACTCCAGTGTAGCCTGAGTCAGAATATTTCCTATGGGCTTAACCTCTTCCTCAAACTCCTGCAGCTTCTGGTTTATCATTGTTCCATAGATACGCTTGATCTGAGACTCCTAGAGACAGAGAGAGTGTGTGGGGCGGGGGGAGGGAGGGCGCACATAAAATAAAGACGTTCAGTGGATCAGAAACGATCGCATTTAAAAATGAGAGTGGTAGAAACATATGAGAGAGTGAGAGATGATGGGTAGGGGGGAGAGAGATCAGCAAAGAATACATAAGGAAGAAAATGCATGTGGGAGATAAGGTAAGGGAATAGAAAATGAAGTGATATGGAAAACAAGCTAGATGATACTTATAACAGGGCATGGTAAGTCAGAGGGGCAAATTGGAAAAGACTAGATGAAAATAAATGTTAAACAGCATGTGTGTGTGGGGGGAGGGAGGTGTAGTTGAGTGAGCTTTCAGATTGCAAGAGGAAAATCAGAAATGAGCAGCAATCAGTCAGTCAGGAGTCTTTTTATGCATTCTGCCAAATCAGAGAGCCTCCAGTGTTCCTACTCTTATCATTATCATCATTTTCATTGCAATTCTGCCAGAGCAAGAGACACTGAGAATGATAATGAGCAGAATACAATATCAACAAAGGGGCAGCTAGGGCGAGGACACACACAGGCTCAATTACAACACATATTTCACATAATAAAACATTTTATGTCTGGATTAATGGTTTAAAACTGCATGTTTTAAATGAACAGGAACAAATTAATTAGGGCTTTTCCTGTTTTATATTAAATCAAAGGAGTTAGCGTGGAGCTCCATGTGGAGGCTCACTCACCGCCGGGAATGTCATGTTGATGAGATTGAAGCGGCTCTGCAGGCAGCCTGATATGTGAGTCCTCCCTCCACCAGGAGGCCCCATGGAGGAAAGCAGGAACATGTCCTAAAACAGAGGAACAAAAGAGAGCAGATGGAGTCCGGGTGTGTACACAATCTTTAAAGACCCCAGCCAGATGATATTTCCTTTGTTTTCCAGATTCATACCGACCTAAACCAAGTAAACAACAATACTCTGAACAGTAATTTTGCAATCTCTGTAAAAACTGCACCTTTAAGCTGCAGTCATGATGAAAATTTGCATTTCATATCTCCTTGCAAAATAGGTGGAAATGAAATATTGAAGAAGAAAGTGTTTTGTTAGTTAGTGTTTTAACCATAACTTAGCATCTTATTTGTGTCTAGCAATATTGTGGTGGGTGAGAATAACTAAACATCAGAGATTTGCTAAAAGAAAACTGATTTGCACCAGAGGTCTATGAGACAAAACTGTTGATTATGATTCAGAATAAATGCAAAATGCTTTACGAGCAACCAAATAACCAACAAATACAAAGAACTCTTACCTTGACACACTGTTGCGTCTGTTTCTGACGGTCATACCAGAAGCCATAGTCAATCCAAAGCCGAAGCAGCTCCAGAGGGGGCTGAGAACCAAAGTCGTCCACAGCTGGCATGTTTAGATCATCCAGGAAAGCCACCATCTTCTTCCCTCCAATAGGTACATACACACCTTTTGTGCGTTTCTCCACTCGAGACTCTATGATTGCCTGCACATTGTTCGAGGTGGTCTAGGAGAGGGACACACAGAGTTAGGGTAGGAGGAAACCCAGGACAGGATTTTGAAAAGATTAGGTGGCCATGAGGAAGAAAAGAAATAGCAGGAGAGAAACCGCTGACACATAGAGGCAGTGGTGGCTGGTCATGATATCAGATGGGAGCACTAAAATCAAATAGTAGCTTGACATTGAAACTATTAGGGTTGAGCAATGCAATGCAATCATGAGGTCTCTAATGGAATAATAAGAATGATGTGAGGCTTTCAATTCCGTAATGCTCTACTGAGTTCATGTTGTGTTTCCTCTGAACACAAAACATGGTAAACAGAAAAGTTGTAACCCTAGAAATCCCCCTCATTCATGTTCATCACACCCACTGTATTTAATAATTATACACTGTATGTAATACAGGTAACTGTATTTCATGTGCACCATCTCATTAACTGCTGATGACGTGTTATGGATGCATCAGCGACGTGAACTGAAAAATATCAGCCAAAATGCACACAATATCTAGGGGGAATTTCACTCTGTGTAAACACATGACATGACTCAAACTGTTAGGCTGCATGAATCAAGTCTGGGCTAGAAAGAAATCAGCCCCAGCTTCACTAATTCATATTATTCTGTGTATTTATTTTTTTTATAACCATTGGTAGTTGCACTTGATTCCACAAAAGTCCAAAACAATCCGCCTTAAGACATTTGTTAACAACAACAACAAAAAAAATCTGATGTGAATGGCAAAAAATCCTATCATTGATGCCTTTGTATGTTTGAAAGGCAGTACTGCTAGCCCATTTATCCCAGCCACCCTTGCACAGAGGCTTAGCAAAGGTAAGCAGAGATTGGTAGGGTATATAATAATAATAAATGATGATGATAATGGCTCAAATTGAGGATGATGGTGGTGATACAATGTGCCTCCTGGATACAAGCTGCCATAAGTGCTGTCTTCAGCCTGGGCTGTGATACATAGCAGCAGGAGTGGAGGACAGTGAGAATAGGCAGAGATCAATTTGACATCCACTATCTTTCTAAAGTACAGACCCAGCTCTGAGGTGATATGACTCCGGTAAAAGTTAAGTCTCTGAGTGGGTCAGATTGAGAGTCAGTTTGAGAACTGTTTGAGACAAAGACAACACCAGTACACAGGATATTGTAGGTCTCATAGTAAGAGATGCCTGAACAAACTGTTACCTTTATCATATCATTGCTGCGGTGCTCATGTGTTCTCGGGATGAATGAATGAAGAAATGAATAAGTGAATTTTGACTACTGGTGGGTACCTGAGAGGACATATTGATTGTAAGCATAGTCCATTTGGATGGATCCAGGCCTTGCAGAACACTCTGGGCCACTGAGGTCTTCCCTGTTCCCACAGGACCTGTCAGCAACACTGGGTACTGGCCACAAATGAGAGCATTCACCAGGAAATTATATCGCACTGTGTCCACAGTAGGAACCATGATCTTATAGAATGGAGCACTGCAGAGAGAGAGAGAGAGAGAGAGAGAGAGAGAAATTTTGGGTGATTTATTTCTATCACATTAGTTCTTGCTAAATGTCTCCCTATGGATATCCTACACAGAGAAAGCTCTAGAGAGAAGGAAGTTGGAACACTTAGTATAAGAGGCGAATAGTTAGAAGAAAGCCCAAAAATATTTTAAAAGTTAGTAAAAGAAGAAGAACGAAAAGTTGAGGGAAAAGTATAGAGGGTTCAAAAAAATAGAGGGTGAGAAATAATGTGAGAAAGGAGTAGAGATGGCAGTAGGGGTAGAAAATGGAGCTGAGAATGTGGACTGGAGGAGAATCGGGCAATGGAGGTGAAAAAGTTCAGATTGAGGGGCTGAAAATTGAAAGATATAATAAGTCAGAAAGAGCAACAGAGGGATGAATTTTTTTTTTTAAACTGGCAATGAACAAAGTATGGGACACAGAGTGAAGAGGCAAAAGGACAGAGGGTGATGAAGTGAGAGAAAGACATAAAAGCAGAATGAGAGAGAGAGAGAGAGAGAGAGAGAGAGAGAGATAAAGACCAAGTAATTAAGAAACAGTATATGAATAGAGCAGATGACTCATAATCCTGGGCAGGTAGCCACTGAGGAAGTGTGCAGGTGGCAGCGCCTCGTGGGCTTGGAAACACAGAGAGACACAAGGTCATAGAGTCACTTACTTGGAGTTATAACGCCAGCCTTTGGGCAGCTTGTCCTCAAATGATGACCAGGTTTTGTTCTTAGCGTCAACATAGTATTCATAGATGGTGTCCTGATCAAGGTATTGATAATATAGGATTTCAGCAGTAAGTTCATTATTAATACTACTATAGTTTTCTTTTGGATTATTAATATATTGAGTAAAACACTTTACAGTCTTACAATAAACCTTTGTATGAATATGCTGGTGGTGTGAGCGTATGTACAGTAATACCTTGTTAGGAAAGGTGCCCTCCATCTCTCGTAGGAAGTTGTCCATCTTCTTACGTCCATCCTCATCCACGGATGCACAAACAGACCAGATCAAGCTGAAGATGAACCAGAGCTCTATCATACGTCCATAGTTCTCACTGTCATCTGGGTTCAGCTGGAGGGGAAGAAGAAACTGTGCATGTTGAATCTATGCATGGGTTGTGATTTTCTTTTTAGGTCCATGGCACACTAAACCAATCAACAAATCAGTATTGATGATTCCCTCTGTTGCATCACATTTTGTACGAAAATTTGCACTTGAACACACCACAAAGACTACAGCTAGCGGCCAACAAGCACTTATTCTTGTGTACATTTATTGCATCAAAAAAAAAACCTTTCCATACCAGCAGGGGCAGTAAACTTTTCATAAGATAGAAAATCAAAATACCCAATATGACAGAAAGACCAAGCCAGCAGAGATGCCTATGTGGGAAGTGGTAGCTCAGTGTTTAAGACATTGGACCACTGATCAGAAGGTTATGAGTTCAAATCCCACCACTACTTGAGCACACTTGAGCAAAGCCCTCAACTACTCAGCTGTATAGATGAGATAAATGTAAGTTACTCTAGATATAAGCATCTGCCATATTCTGTAAAGACTCCACAAGAGAATTCTCTTTTTTTTCTAAAGTAAGTTTAAATTTAGACACTTGTTATAGGTCTAGAAAAACTTTTGAAATTACAAACTGCACCTTTAAAGTGTGCATGTGTTATATCAGTGGCATACACTATGTTTATGTGAATTAGGCAACAATTTAAACGTTGATCATAGCAAAACTGGGAAACCCTATTAATAGCACCTGCTTATTGAGTTCCACTGTTTTCTTTTATTGAGAATTGTATTCATAAGATGAAAGCAGACAGTGTATGTGCAATGATCTCACCCCATTTTCAGGACTGGCCAAGGAATCATAGAGTCTGCAGAGAGAGATGACTCCATTCAGCTCGGTGATCGGTACCAGCTCCTTACAGTGAGTCTTCCTGAAGCTTATAGTCTTTTCTATGTATCTGTCAAACAGGCGTTTCAGATGATCTACCTCTACCTATGGAGAGTAAGAGACAGAAATAACAAGATCAGGAAAAGGTTGTGCATATGGAAGAGAACAGTTATCATATAGCTATCAGTCACAAGTCGCAAACTAATGAAGAAAAAATGATGGCATCAATCCTTTATTGAACCTTCTGCCGCTTGTCAATCCAAGACTGAACATAGGGCTGCCATCCAAGGTCTGAGTAATCATTATACACCATTCCGCAGCGGGACACTGTTGCTGGAGACGCCACTGCCAGATCCTCCACCTCAAACAACAGGGACACCTACAGCGACACACACAGAACAATGAAACCAGCTTTTCTGGTCAACTAATTATTTTTAACAGCAATTATTTTAACAGTAGAAAATTACTATATATCCTCCAGCATCTTTTAATCTAATCTTTGCTACATTTGTATTGTATGTGCTACTACTAAGGAATATAATTTTTACACTCTCCCCATTCTGGCAAAAAAATTTACTCAAAACACACTGTTGAGGCAGTCAGTAAATCTTTCAGTAAAGTATGTCATGAATTCCCCATTCAAAGGCATTTGCAAAGCTCTAAGTACATATGATTTATTCTTTTAGACATGGGACTATGTTTCCAAAGGGAAGAATTAGTGATTATGTATCAATGCATTCAGGTAGGTCTAATTGTGCATAGATACCATATGTTCATGAAAGTGTAAGTAACATGAATTACTTTTTTACTGAATTGCTCCAGTACTGAAAAGTTTGACTGGGGAAAAATGACTGGAGTCTTCCTTTGATATAAGGCAGTTAAACTTGTGGTTACTTTTTGACAAGTCAGAAATAGTGTGACATGCTTGATATGTAATTTCATACCTGTTCAGGCATGGAAATTCTCTCTCCATTAATAAGCGTGAGGACTTTATTGTCATCCATCACCGAGTTCATGCTTTCAATCCACAAAGTATCCACTGGACCGTCAAACACAATCCATTTCTCATCCGGCTTCTCATCTGAGCTCAGCAACGTGAGAGAGACAGGGGAGACAGTTAGGAAATAAAGCAAACATATAATGTGCATCATTACATAGTCTCTCTCTCTCTGTTTTTATCATTTACTATCACAAATATAGACAAATGGATTCATAAACATGCCTTGCTATCTTTAATCCTCTGTCTATTTTCCTGTCTCTTTTTTTTTCTCACAAACTTGTGGCCCTTTTGTGGAAAATGTTCTGTTAGTTTTCTAGCTTTCTTCTTTTCCCTTCATCTGACCATGTGTGTCTCATTTACCGACCCCACAACAACAACCACAACACAGAACAGTCTTTCTGTCTTATACACACAGAGACTTTCTCTCTCTCTCACACACACACACACACACACACACACACACACACACACACACACACACACACACACACACAGACTGACTGACTGACTGGGTAAGCATGTAACATCAAACCTGTCACACACAGCTAAAGCAACTGTCATTTCTACTTTGGATGATCTCCCTTCTCCAAGCAGCGAGGAGGGGAAATAAACAAACAGAGATGAACAGCAACAGATGCTAAACATATGGAGGCACTGCAATGCCTGATTACACCACTCAAACATAAAATTCCTCCACACCAAGACCTACATGGTAACAAGACACAAACAAAACCCGGAAAGAAACTCAGGAAAACTGCTGCTGGAAAAAAAGCATAATGACAACAAAATATGTAAATGGAGCAAACTATATAGATTGTACTCAAATAGGCAAACAAAAGTCTGTGACTGGCTGGGCTAATTGGCAGGCGTCAAAAACAAAGAACTGTTTCAGTTCCACAGCTCGGCATGGTAACCTGTGCACGATTGGCGCATGGTGGTGGAAAGAATGCCATCAGTCCACTCGCAGTAGGATAGATCAAAGTGGCCATAAAGCTCTTCCAGAGACACGGCCTTGGGACTGACCACAAACTCCTGTTGGAGAATGAACAGGTCTGCTTTATTGCTTACAGAAGACAGGCAGAAAGAGAGAGAGAGAGAGAGAGAGAGAGGGAGGGAGAGAGAGCGACGGATACACAGTAAAGAGAAAGACACTGACTCATGAGGGACACCACGATGAAATGAAATGCAAGCCACAGGGGCCCACACAGAGTCAGACCGAACAGCGAGAGAGGGATAGCGACACAGATAGAGAGGGGGAGAGAGAAAGAGAGAGAGCTACATCATGTCACTCATCAACAGTAGCTGGCTTGCTGCAACAGAGAGAGAGAGAGAGAGAGAGAGAGAGAGAGAAAAACAGGCAGCAGGGAAAGGGGATCTCTTTTGCACTGACAGTCCCATAGGAGCTGAGCTATGCAGCACACACACTCTCCCATGACACACACACACACACACACACCACCCTAACCCAGAATACTGCGGTCTCTCCATTCTGCAATAGACTGAGGGAGAGACAGACAAGCAGGGAATGAGATAGAGGGAGAAAACATAGAGATATTTTGGCCCACATTTCCGCTCACAGCAGGACAGAAGATTCTGAAGAGAACAGAAATAAGTAGGTACAGTAAAGACACAGCTCAGAGAAAAATGCCAAGCGTGACATTTAACCCGATCATCCCATGACCCTGTCAATCTTTAAAAAAAAAAAAAAAAAGATAAGAAAACTAACATCATAAATACAAGGAAGACATCTGTTGATAGCATCTGTTCAGTAGCCGCTGTAAAGAACTGCAGAGAGGCAGATAAAGTAAAAAGGAAAACATAATTAGTGGAGCTGACAGAGTCATGCTGAGTTGACATAACAAGAAAAGAGAAATGTCGTCAGACACCTTCTGGGCCCTGAGACGGAAACAATCTCCAGTCAGCCTGTGACCGGCTGTTCTTTTGTGTGTGCCCATGTGTGCATGTGTGTGTGTGAATTTGTTGTGAGGCTGAGCTTAAAAGAAACAGAATGTACACCACCAGTGTGAGGTTGTTTTCCTCAGCCCACACGCATGTGTCAGCCTCAGTGCAAGATATCGCAAGAGCTGATGACACAGTTATATTCTGCACACACACACACACACACACACACACACACACACACACACACACACACACACACACACACACACACACAGATTCCCTAAGCTTGTAGGTGATCAAAGAAAGGATCCTGACAAAAAAGGATAGGCCAACCAAAATCTATAAAGTCCAATTCCAACAGTTTGTGTAACTAGACATTTAAAGACAAACCGTGCATTTCAACAGATAGCGTACAATAATTCTATACCTATAAAGTGTGCCCAGGTTTACTTGAGTGTACATAAAATTTAGGTACCTTTGGTGTACCTAAAAGAGTGGGAACTAAGTCTCAACAGTACACAGGCCCTGAACTCATAGATGACCTTTGGTGGGTCAGTGACTGACTTCAGTGGTGACTTTATCAGTTCATACTTCTAAGGTATCTTCCACACTATTTTTTACAGATTTATCATATTTTCCTTCCTACCATTCATTCATTAATGTTATTTTTTATTTTTCAGGCTTATACTCATATCCTTCTCATTTTTTAACCACATTTTTTGACCTTAGCTGGTGATCTTGTGTCTTTGTCAAATTAAATCTGCCGTATAAAAATTTTATGTAAGTGCTAGATAAATAAATAAAATTATTATTGACAGCCCTATACAGCAACCCCGCTTAACCTCTTCCATCTGAAGTGCACTCAACAGTACCTGCACACGCAGCTCTCATAAGAGAGGACAGAACGCCGTCGGTCCACTCATTGGTGGAGAGGTCATATTCACCATAGAGTTCTCCAAGACTCACTGCTTTGGGGTTCAAAGGACATTCCTGAGGAGTCATAGGTTAAAGGTCAGAGGAGAAAAAAAAATGGACCGGTGTCAATGAGAAGGAGGTGCGAGTAAAATGAGGGATGGAAAAAGAAATTGAGTTGAAATGTCAGACAGGGAGTGGCTGCTGGAATGAGATTTTGAAGAGTAAGAGTGAAGACAGTCTGTGTGTGTGTGTGTGTTTGTGTGTGTGTGTGCGCGCGCGCACGTGTGCCTGCATGGGTGCATGGGTGCGTGCGTGTTTGTGTGAGTCAGAGCATGTGGAGATGCTGAGGAGAGATAATGAGGAAGCTGGAAGAGGTGATATTTCAATGGTAGGACAGAGACGGCTTCCTGAAATAGATTATGCAAAATGAAAAGGTGTTGAGTCAGACATAAAAGAGAGAAGACAGGCAGTGAGAAATGATTTGGATAGATAGATAGATAGATAGATAGATAGATAGATAGATAGATAGATAGATAGGATGAGAGAAAACTGGAAAGAAAAAGTAGCATGTAAAAACTATGGCCTTTTGTGTCACGGGGGGAGCAGAGAACAAGATGGACCATAAAACAGGGAGTGAAAGCCATGAAGGCTTAGACACACACCACGACACGATGTTGAGGTAGACAGGAGAGAGCACGAAAAACAAGAAAGCACACTTTCTCCTGGATCGCGCACACACACACACACA